AGCTTGCATACCGTCCTACCGGTAGGACCACGGGTCCTACCGGTAGGGCCCAAGAAATCGAGCTGCAAAAGTGCTTTTGGTTGAGAAATTTTTTGAAACAATTGTTGAGATGAGGTCTTTGTCAGGCAAAGTAATGGCGCAAAATGCAAGGCTATGTCCAGTGCATTGCGTATGCGCAATTTTATCGATTGTCAAAATGGCCGCACATAATCCTGTCGGTGCGCTAGCAACTCTGTCCAAAGTGAATTTTGACCATGGCACATCAATTGTGGTGAGGTCCTAATGTTTTTATTAGCTTGCCAAGGCCGTGGAATGCATAATACCATACTCTGTTTCCATGGTTACCATGGGTTGTTACCATGGAATTTCGTAGTATGCCTTGTGCGATCACGTCTAAAATTCATGGACTCCTTCATTAGCCCCTAACAGTTTAGGGTCAAGTTTTAGGTCAATGTTAGAACAGAGGCCATGCAGCATGTCTGTGTATGATGGTCCTACCGGTAGGTCCTCCGAGGTCTATGCAAGCTATCATTAATGCACCTAAAATTACATGTTTAAAAGGCACTAGAGTATGCACTGTATCAAGAGTACATAACCAAGAGTGTGCAACTGCCTGCACAACCTCTATGCTGTGCTGCGACGGCAGAACTTCACATCACGTGACATGGTTCAAAAGGTTATGCTGGCAAACAGTGCAAAGTGACCACAAGAGAGTTGTACCCAAAGCTGGGCTGCGTACAACCCAGTATCTATCATGCACTAGAGTGCACGGGTTCATCACGTGATGTGAAGTTCTGCCGTCGCAGACCCCATAGCTGGAGTTGCACACTCTTGGGTTATGTACTCTTGACTGTATGTGAAGGGGAAGCTGGTCACCTAATTTTACATTACACCTCAAAACTGGCAGGTCCCTGGCACCGAGATTTTAATGCACCTAAAATTACATGTTTTACAGTATTTGTCGTTAGATTTAGACTTTCAGCCTGACTAGGACATGCTGCAGCCTGACTAGGACATGCTGCAGCCTGACTAGGACATGCTGCAGCCTGACTAGGACATGCTGCCAGACGAGCATGCACGTCAAGACAAGTGGCACATGGCTGGGAGTGCAAACTGATGTATATACACTTGCACATGCATGCACACATGCACGCACACACACACACACACGCACACACACACACACACACACACACACACACACACACACACATGGATGCACACGCACGGATGCACACGCACGCACGCATGCACGTCCGTATGCACACGCATACAAACACGCATGCACGCACAGATGCACGCACGGATGCATACACGGATCCAGGCACGGATGCACACGCGGATGCACGCAATACACACACATGGTTGAAAAGTATCCTAGGCACCGCATAAACTTACGATGAGCTGTCCTGAAAATCTCTCAACTGCTGCATGATGACTGTTGACTGTTCGTAGGATGTTTCGTTTAGCGTGTCCAACTCACCTATACCGGCTGTTAGTTGTGGCAGCAGAATAATAACAACTATAATTGAAACGCCCTGTTAGAGAGCTCACATACCATCACTGTCCCAATGCGCTCAAGCAGGTATGACGCAAGGAAATATTCCATAACTCAAAACATTGTATGGCCAGGCCTCTTCCAAGATATTTTTCTTGGCGGCCAGGTAAAGTGCAAGATTGCTATACTGCATTTCAAAAACACAGACGCGTGAACTGGCACGGGAGTTCCTTATGGACTTCTAGCGTGCTCGCAAATTGGAGTTGAATGCACCAACTAGACACCACCATAGTTCGAAGAACTCTGGCCGTTAAGCACCCTTATGCACTCCACATAACAAAAGCATCTAAAAGTTAAAAAAGGATGCGATTTATCAGGTCAAATCTATAGGAACAAAACAATAATGAAACCTTAAATCTGGCTGAAGCCAACACTTCGTGTCTAGTGAGGAGGCATTTGAGTAGAGTTGTGAAGCCAAGAGAAGCCCATGGAATGGAGTGGAGAAAAAATCCCAAACCAATGCACTTGACAAAATCGGCCTGTGTCGCTGCGGAAAAGCGATGTTGGCACATTTGTGCCAAGTGTGAGCTTGCAGCCGGCATCATTGTGGAAGCAGCGGCTGTTGCTTTGACGGGTGATACACGGACATCCAGGGCGACGCAGTCATCCGTGACCTACACGGCGTACATCATCGACAGCAACTGGATCCTTCAAAGTTATGCCTTGCCAACAACTGTTCGTGAAAGTAGCCACACATCTGCCAATTTAGCAGCACACGCAAGGAAGACCTGCGAAAAGCTTTTGAGATTCCCTCAACTACTGTAGTTGGGCTAGTGCACGACGAGGCTGCAAATATGATGGCGGCTGGTTGAGACTTGGAAACGGGCGATGGCTGGGCCAATGTTGCTTGCGGAGCGCATCGGCTTCAGACAGTCATTAGGTATGCAGTATTCCATACTGGGGAGGTTGGAGCTCTATTGGCATCCAGCAGACGCTTAGCTG